TGCTTCAGAAAAATGGCCAGAGCTTCCCCCAGGTAATTACTATACCACAGCTTTCTCTGTGCCATCTCTAAATCTTGTATCTATGTCTATTGCAGCACTTTATCTCCTTAACCTCAATTACTCTTATCGTGTGTTTCTTTTCCCTCTGGGCTTCTTGAAAACAGAGACAGCTCTTATTCATTTATGAATCCTTAGCACCCAGCATAGTGCTTAACTAGTATTTTTGTTAAGTTGTCCCCCCAGAAATAAATCCCAACTGCTCCTTGGTCCATGTCTTCTGATTCTCAGTTCATGCTTTGTACAGAATGTAAAGAATTGCACGTAAATTTTAATATTGGATTGCAAAAAATTCAATTTGGAAAGTAATATGGAAGTTCTATAGATTCCACATGGACTCCCTTCACATCCTTTAAATCAATATTAATCTCCAATTGCCTTTATTAAGTAAGCTCTTTCCAGTTTCAAACCCAATGCTGGCTCATGATGAAGTTTTTTGGGTCCTGTGCAAAATGAGAGAAAGAAAGACAATGTAGTCAGTTTTTTCTAATGTCTAAATTTACTCAGTTTAAAGGAGTGGTTTCTATTGAGTTTTTTTTGTTTGTTTCTTTCGTGTTATATTTAAAAATGTCCTTTCTTTTCTGACATAGGTGATAACAGATGCTATGTAAATAAATTATGAATAAATAACTGGTAAATAGATGAGTAATATTACCAATAAATAAATGTCAAGTAAATGCCAAAATGAGTCATAGCTGTGATCTTGTCACATCATGGCACACAGTAAAATGTAACAATACCTGTAGGGCACATCTTGGTAAAGCGCTACCTGGCATAACCGTGACAAAGCGCCCTCTAGTGGCAGGTGGTAGGCATAAAATCTTACCTGCCAGAATATTAATAATTTCTGAATTCAGGATGGTTACACGGGAAGCCTTACAGGTATTAATGTTAAAATATAACCTCAGCAGTTGTACATTTTTACATGATTGTTCAAAATAGTATAAAGCATTTTATCATTATAAGAAATTTCTCACTATCAGTATCTCACGTTTTACCTATAACCTGCTGGAGAGCTCTGCTCTACCCTACTTTTCCAGGAGCCTGTTTATTGATCTTAGTTATATTTGCATTTACAGTGAAAAAGCTGATGAATCTAAAGCAATCTATGTCCATAGTGATTAAATTTCAAGCAATGCAAAGAGCCACTGGGGGTAGTGTGTGTGTGTGTGTGTGTGTGTGTGTGTGTGTGTGTGTGTGTGTGTGTGTGTGACGGTGGTTAGGAGGGAGGTGCAAGGTTTTTTGTCACTTCTCAAGTCATACTGTAGTTTACTGTCCAGTTTTTATAAATTGTAAGTAAATCTGGTCTTGCTTTATAAAACAGTCTGCTACATGTATTCCAAACATTAACATTCTTTATTTACTTGTAGCATATGGGTATTTTGCAATAGCAGGAACAATTGGGAAGGAGAGGTGGTGAAATGCAAAGTGAATGTAGAACAGTGGAGACTAAGACCTGGAGAAAGAGAACACTGTCTTATGTTGAAAATTGATAGATCCTAGGAAAGATTACAATTTACAGGGAAGTGCTGGCTGCTAGAGGAAGCCATTGCACCCACCTCTGCCTGTGCTGGTGTTCACCTCTAGTTATGTCTACAATCCTCCCAGAAGCCGAGATCTACTGATGGATGCTAAATGACCATGCAGCAATGTCTTCCTTCGAGTCCCTGTTTTATCTCCAGAAAGTGTTCTGCTTTCTGCTACCAGTTGCTCAGGAAGTGTAGTTACATCATCTTGGAGCAATACCATCTTTCCACTGCTTTGATATTTATAGCTGATTAGAACTGTATCTTCTTAATCCAACCAGAATCTCAGCTTTTCTTTAAGCTTCCAGAGGCTCCTCCTGTTTAGGCCTTCAGAAACATGCCCTATCTTCTTACTTTACTGCTAATGCTACCGCCCCTAATCAGATCAACTTAACTTAGCCCTGATCTTCCAATCTGCAGAAATGGGGCCAACACTCCTTTATACAACGACTAACATCCAGCAAGCTTTCCTCAAGATTTGCTGGCAGGCCACACATACTTTCCACTACTTTGCTCTTGCCTTCAGGCAAGTGTGAAAGTCCTAGATAAGTTTCATATAGTATGTGTTTTTGAAAAGTGGGAATGAAATACCATGTTTCATCTTTTAAAAAAGTGCTCTTTAAGGCTGCAGGTTTTTTTTTTCTTTCTTTTTTTCATTTTTTGGCAGTTAAAAATGCACCACGTATGACTCAATTATTTTCTATAGTGTTGGGGTATGTTGAACGAGAAAATATAGTTTATTTAGACAATAGCAGTGCTTTACATGTTTTCAATATTTCAGTTATAGCCTTTGAACTTTTAGAAGCCAGAGTTGTCCATTTCTTTTTAGTTTATAAACGAAAATGTACAGTATCAGAGTAAAATAAACTTTTAAGGCTTTCTTGCTTTTTCTGGGTCAAATAGAGAAAAATACTAATTTCCCCAAATCTGGCTGATAGAAAACAAAACAAAACACTGAATTTAAAAACTTATTTATTTATTTATTTATTTGGATCTGGGCTCTAGTCCTGGATCAAACTCTAATAAAACGTGTGGTCTCCAAAAGTTAGGTGGGTGAATTTTCTCATTTGATAAAGAAGGGATTTGAAATGTGAGCGCTGGCTGCCTATAAGAATGACTGAAGATTTTAAACAGAGAACCCAAAACAGAACAATAAGAACAATAGCACACTCCTCAGGTGAATCTGAATGGTCAGGCTTGAGAACTACTGGATTTGGTTCACCCCTAATATATGCTTTTCAACTAAATTGTAAACTTTTTGAGGACCACAACTATTTTATTAATCTAAAGTGCTTAGTATGGTGCCGCCTTGTGCCCAATAATCAACAAATGTTTACTGAATTGGGTTCCAGTTTATATGCTAATATGACTGGGAGTTTCTGTTTCTTTTGAGGCCTTTAGAAACTTCTAATTTTTAAAGATTTTCACACACTAAGAACTGTGTGGTAATTAAGATTAGGGCATGTGAAAAATTAACTAAACTAGGATTGCCCTAAAGTGACTGGAATTTCTTGATTGAGTTAGCAATAACAGAATCGGAGAAACATATAGGTTAACGGAATTTCAAAAGGATTTTTTAAGCACAATGATAGAAATATGTACAGTGTTGTTCCGTTGGAGCAAAGAACTGGTTAGAATCATGACTGTAATACCTCATAATTCTAAGGTGCTTTACAATTTATAAATTTCATTCACTGACCTCACCTCCATTATCCTTACAAAACCCTAGGCCAAATATTACAACCTCATTTGTAAAAATTAGTAAGACAAGACTCTGAGAGGTCAAATAATAGAATTTCAGAGTTGAAAATAACTATACTCGTATCCCCCTACTGTCAGTCATTTCCAAACCATTTTTATTATTTTGCCACAACTGACTACCACTCATACTATAGTTTACCTAATATTTTTCATTATAGTGGCACATTTTAACATTTTTGTAGTTTTCTTAAGAAAAATTTTTGAAATCATGGGTCTGGTTTTTTTCCCTAATAAGCATTAATTAAAAATAAAAGTAAATTTTAAAAAATCATTGGTACCATGCTTCAGGACTCACTCTCAAAACCATAGATGAGGGCCGGCTGAGTGGCTCAGTTGCTTAAGAGCTTGCTCAAGAATGCGAGCTCTGACCAACAGGGTTGCTGGTTTGATTCCCACACGGGCCAGTGAGCTGTGCCTGAGCTGAGCTGCCACTGAGCTGCCAACAGATGGCAAGGTCGCTCAGGGGATAGAGTGCACGCTCTTAACAACAAGGCTGCCAGTTCTACTCCTGCATGGGATGGTGGTTACACCCATCTGCAACTAAGACTGAATTCGGCACCTTGAGCTGAGCTGCTGCCTGGATGGCTCAGTGGATAGACCATGCATTCTTAACAACGAGGCTGCTGGTTCTACTCCCGCATGGGATGGATGGTGCCCACTCCCACCTGCAACTAATTGAACACAGCACATTGAGCTAAGCGTTGTGACTGGACTTGGAGCTGAGCTTGCTGTGCCCTCCACAACTAAGATTGAACGACAACTTGGCTGTTCCCTTTCCCCAATTCCACAATAAAATCTTTAAAAACCAACAAACAAAAAAACTATACATGAAACCTTTACTTAAAACTCCTAGATAACCAGACCTTCAGTTTCTGCATGAGCATCTGCAGCAATGTTAGGCAAATTACTTAATTCATGCTACATTTCCCTCATTTTTAAAATGGGGATAATAGTTACCAACCCCATAGGATGCTTGTGTGGATAAATCAGATAATACATGTGAAGCTATTAGCAGAGTTCTTGACAGGTAGAAAGCTTTCAATAAATGTTAGGTATCATTGTTAGCTCTGGGTAGCTTTTTTTCCTGGTATTCCCATACTCGGAAAGTTTTTTGTTTTTTCCTTAAACTCCAAATGATTTTCTTATTATTTTCCCCAATTTAACCAAACGGCTAAAAGTTGAAAACAGGACTTTGAAGTGACATGTGTGCTTATTATTGCACTTATTGTTGTTATATTTTCACTGTTTGACTTGTCTTAGATTACGCAGGTAGTAAACTAATAGGGGGTTAAATCTTTTAGTTTTAGGGCTTTTTGCAGTGGATGCCAAGATTGAGGAAGAACAGTGCTGTGGCCAGCCGACTATTGCAGCTGGAGAACGCTTGCCAAGCACAGCGCTACCTGGGAAGTCCCAAGCGCTCAGGTGACCTCTCCGGATGCCTTCCATCAAGTTCCTGGTCCTTTGCGTCAGTTTCACGTTCTCCCACCCCGCCCTTCTAGACCAGGTGGCTTTCCTCCATCACGCTCCTAGGGGGCATCATGTCAGTCTGGTTTATACACTGTCTTCTCAGTGTTGGTTCCAGTCGTTCAACGCCTGGTCACCTATGCGTTAGGTTTTCGACTGGCCGAAGCAGACCTACCGAGAGCAAATAAATACCTTTGTAAAAAGACCGGCAGTCGCCAGGATTGTTCAGACGAAGGTTTGGAGGCTTAATTGCAGCGCCGGCTGTTTCGCTTCCTGGGAAATGTAGTACCTGGACTGTCCTCTCTCCTCCACAGCGGAAGCCGGCGGCAGGCGGAACACTACAGTTCCCAGCATGCCCAGGGAAAGGAAAGGCCGGCAGCTTCACGTGATCACTCACCATGGCTTCCCTGTGTCGGGGCCAGCTGTGTGGTGGTTCGGTGTGATTTGTTAGTTCTTTGCGGCAGGGCACCCCTGTCACGATTTCGACATGCAAAAAATCAAATCTCTTATGACCCGACAGGTAAGTCGCGGAGGCTGAAGTAGAGGCCTCCTTGATCTCCACTGGGAGTGGAGCCAAGATGTTCTGTCCCTGGGCCCAGGGCAAGAGGAGACCTAATTTATAGGTGGTGGCAGGTGTCTGGGGTCCTGGGAAGACAGTGCAGTGCTCACCCTGAAACACTCCCCTGAGCCGTCCAGAGCAGAGCCCGGCTCTAGCGGTACCAGCGTGCTAGAAACAAAGGATGCCAGTGAAGCAATCAGAGCTATCTTTGTCTCCGCCCTTCTCCTATAAGCCGTCTTTCCACTGACAGCCCCACCTGCCTTGCAGTGTTCCCCGTATTTAAGCTGTCCGTCGGCTTTGAGCAGGTGGCCTGGTTAGGGAGGTGAGGTCTTTGCGATAGAGATGACCTGGAAAGAGTGAAAATAACGGATAATTTGATGACAGAATTGGTAGCTAGCTTTATGATTTTTGGCAGGTCCCCAAACTTGGCTGCTTCGGTTTCTGAAAATGAGAATAATTTTTTTTGTGTGTTAATTCTTACCGTTCTCCCACGCTGAGGGTCATCAGTAAGCTAATGTATGTGAAAATTCTTTGTGAAGTGCTACTTTTTATCATTGTCATGGCAAAATAATAGTCTTATTTTTTTTTCACAATGATAATTCATGAATAAAAACTGGCTATTTTCTATTCCTAGTAATGCTTCAGCTTCCTTCAAGCAAGATGTTGGAGAAATTTCCCTTTATGTACTTATTGATCATGAGTTGGTTTTAGATAGCTTTATTTATTTAAATTCTAATATTTCACTAGAATTGGCCATTCTTATATCTGAACAGGTTACAAATTGTAGGTTTTTGGTGAACAATACATGAGTCCTACATGATTATTTTACTCCTGTCAAATAATATTGTTAACGTCATGAACATAGAATAATAAAGTTCTTTGAATAAGAAAATATTTAAGTAAGCAGGTAGTAACATTTTGTGTAATCCTTCACATTTGTTGAGTACTGGTGCTACGCTTCGTACCATTTCTTACTTGAGAATGAGTTCAGGTCCTGCTGCATCCGATAGTAGATGTGTGATCTTGAGCAAGTTACCTAACTTTTTTGAGCATCTGTTACTACGTCTTCAAAATAGGAATAATAATATGTGCCTCATGGGGCTAGCCTGGTGGTGAAGTTTATATGATAAGATGAAGGTAAACATGTAAACAAAGGAGCTAACACACTTCCTGGGCCTTATCAAGGAAGTGCTTGATCATAGAGATCATCTCAGTGGCTGCACTGATGGTGGGAAAGCAGGACAACTGGAAGCCGACTGTTGCAGTAATTCAAACAATAGTGATTTCAGACTGACTGGTATCTGTTTGAGG